TTAGGGTTTAGGGCTCCTTTTTCCTTACATGATGGGAATAAGGAGCCCGAATTAAGGAGTAACATGAGCAATTAAACTTAGGCTTCTATGTTCCCAGTACTATCAGTCTTACATAATGGTCTCTATGGTCGCAATCTTTCCGAAGCTCCCACACCCCCCCACTTCCATACCTTCTGTTGTCTCCTTCTGGTACACCAAACCGGCAACTCTGACATGAAAAATGTTGGTTTTAGGGTTTTAGGGTTTAGNNGGGTTTGGGTTTGGGGCTTTGGGTTTAACAAATGGCCCTTCGTTGAACCTGCAGCCAGGGCCGCTGGGGGCAGATCTTCTGGAGTAATCACCCAATCGCCGCTGTTCACGCGGCTGTCCAACGTCTCCTGCGTGCATGCATCTTTTCTCTCTTGTCAATGGGGGGGAAAACCGCCCTGGAACCTGAGCTCCCGAACTTGCCAGACCGCACAAACCCCCAATGCATCCGGCAACTGAACCACTCTTCGACTCGTGGCAAAACTTGAACCCCGAAACTCGACAGTCGTAAATGCCGAAACCCCAGCTACACAAGCTTGAAATCCTGAGCCGTACGTCCCAAACACCCAACAAGCACAAACAAACCTAAAGCCCCCAATTCCCAAGAAGCTGCCTCAAAATCACCTCTTCAAGCCGTATGATGCCCTACACCCCGAAACCCGAAAGTTGCGCCTGTGCCCAGACCTGCTGCTTCAAGGCGAAGATTATCCGCCTGCCTCAGACGTGAAGTGACGTGAACCTAATGTAGGGGCCTTCTTGAGAGTTCGAATAAGCCTTTTTCTTGGTATCTTGTACTCTAACTATTAAAAGGACCCCTATGTAAAGGGACAATATCTGTGACGGCTCAGCCCCCTCTCTTCTTTCTGTTTTTGCGGGGGAGTGGCGGGGACGTGGAGCGCTTACGGCTGAGGCCACCGGGCTTTTGGTGGTTTAGGGTAGCTACTCTTTGTTTTGAGGGGGGTTTAGGGTCTTCGGGGCTGTGTGGCCTGGCGCAAATGCAGAGTCTCTTGGGATTGATTGGATTCATGTCGCAAGTAGCTATTCAGAACTATGTCTGCCTCATGTATGACCCTATAGTTCCTATTTCCCACAGGCTTTTGTGTGTCGAAACCTTTACGGAACCCTTGAAGTTACTTACTAAGTCCCATGCTCGACGTATCTACCTAATGTGGACACAGTCGCAGCAGGTTCATTGTGCGAACAACCTTCCAAGACCATCCTAAACTCAAACCATCCCCGTAGACGGAGCTTGCGAAAGAAACCGTTACCTAAACCCACGCGCACCTCGACCCAAATCCCAGTACCAACACCCAAACTGCCTCCACGGATCCGCAACCCTCAGAGAAGCCAACCGCCTCAAACACAAGAACCTCAACTGACCCAGTTTCTACGGTTGATGATCGAATTCCTGCATTACCCATAATAGGGAATATAGACCATAATTCCCATAGTTTAGGGGTCCTTACGGTAATGCGAAGGATGTATATCATCAACAGTACTCCAAGGAAACCCTGGGAAGTTACCCTTATAGTATCCCTTATAGTAACCCTTAGCGTACCCTTATAGTATCCCAGTCTCTATCACCGCGTCAGGCTTCATCCCGCATCTGCCATGCACCGTAGAGAAACCCCGAAGACAGCTGCAGAGAGAGTGGCAGAAGACGTCGAGCTTGATGGTTTCTGGCTTTCCTGCCACATCGATGGGTGCGTGCTTATCACTAGGTCGGGGCTATGAGGGACGTGCTTTGATCCCTGAATAATATAGGGGCCTTCATAATGGGCATATTATACTGTATCTATAATACGGAATCCCCCAAAAATTATATCGGTAACTGTTTCCATAGGCACCCCAATATACTCAGATCGCTAGCTCTGGCATTCTCTGGCTGTGGGGCTCGGGGGGCGCTTCGACTTGCACGGGTAATGTAGAGGTGTTAGCACTTGGATCCTTTAGAGTATAACTGTCATAAGAACCCCCGAAAAAGCTTCCTAAACCCTAAACCTTAACCATAATTACTACCAAAAAACATGTACGGAAAACCGCTGGTCATTCTTTTGGGCTTCGTCAAACCCTAAACCGCGGCTTCTGAGAGCAGCTCCTGAGGTCTCGTCGCCAAAGGGCTCCTCCATGATTTCCGCCAGCTCCTCTCCAGAGAGGGAACTTGTAAGGGGGCTCCTTTTAAGGGCGGCTCTCTTTTCGGAGGAGGGCTTTGGGGTTTAGGGCCGGGGTTGATATTAGAACTGGTAAGGGGGCTCTTTGAAGGGCTGCTCTCTTTTGGAGGAGGGCTTTAGGGTGTAGGGGTTGCTATATAGTACCTCTACTGTTACTGGTAGTATTACTTCTGCTGCTAATCTTGGTACCACGGTTGCGAATAGTTCTACTAATGCTACTAATGCTAGGGCTGCTGGTGCTAATCTTATTATTGTTACGACTAGTTATACTATTGCGATTCCCACCGGTGCCGGCCTCGGTGTAGTACAAGGCCCAGGCAACGAGCAGCACTGCGGGCACCACCAGAGCCTGGAAGTTGCGCGACATGAAACACGCGTGGTGCTTCGTTAGTTCCACGGACTGTTCGCAGTTCCGCGTCGGTTTTGTTGCCGGTGGCCATGGCGGGCTGGCAGCACCGCATCCTCCTCCTGCTCCTCCTGCTCCCTCCTCCGCCGCATCATGTCACCTTCTTCCTCGTAAGTAACAGAACATCATTGTCATCAGCCGTACCACACTCGTTAGCATCAGTGTCATGAATGCCAGCATGACATTCATCGTCATCGCTGTGGCATTCAAGATGACGAGAAGATTTGCGGTATTGAATCCTGAATCGGACTACCACTGCCCTCATCAGCTTACACTCTAGGTGTGCAACCAGCCGCAGGAAGCAACGCCACAGGAAAGATCTGGAGTCCCCAACCCCCTCATACGATGAAGGCCTGAATAATTAAACTCGTGCTGCAGGAAAACATGTACCCTAAATTACTAAAAGGGACCCTATTTTAGAAAACTACCCATATAGGGACCCTTACCTAAGACAGGGACCCAAACGGGACACCCCTTTTCGCCCTGTCTCCGCTGTGCTAGGTGCCCGAACGGGTCTCATGACATCCAGCAGAACGAAGGGCAGTGTGCCGACCTCGCCACAAAATGTATACTGCTTTTATCAAATGTGTAATTCTACAAGGATTTCTTCGGGGTCTCTATTTAAAGCTCTGAGCAGGATGGGGCTTCTTAACTGAGGTTCCTTTTGGCTTGTCCTTGTCGTGACGACTCTACCAAGCTACTACTTGAGGACTCTTGGCCCTAGGGTTCGTGATTTCCGGAACTTCCCAAAAAGACAGACCACCCCAAACTTCTCGTACTGGCGAGTCGGATCGTCTCTGTGGCTTTTATGAGAGACCTGGTTCTGCACTATACAAAGAGGACGCAGAATCTTCGCGATGGTCGCGCTGAAGTTTCTCCTGAAGCCCCCGGCTCCGGTTCTGACAGCTCTGAAGATCCCTCTCATGCTTGCAGCAGTTGTCGGACCCTCTTGAAACGCAGGGGCCTGTTTCGGGGTATGTTGGAGTAGACCGTACCCGGAGAACCCAATATATCCCTGAATTAAGGAATAATTATGCTTTAAATCATAATAATAACAAGGCCCCTATAATTTAAGGTCTATTCCTTAAGTACGGGGTATTGGGTTCTCTGGGTCTACCCACAAAAAAGCAGGGACTTATTGCTCCTCTTTTCTCATCCCGGGAGCCCGGCCCAGAGGCGGATGAAACGATCTGCGTGGATGGTGTAGCTGGCTGGCAGTGGCTGCTGCACCTGAGAGCAAGTGAAGCTTGCGGCAGAGCTTTGAGTTCGATGGTGGTCTAAGCGCCCTGCTGACCTGAGTTCGAAAATCCACCTAGGTAGTCCAATTCCACCTGGTCCACCTAGTCCAACTTTGACTGCGCCAGACGAAAGCCCACCATCGTTTCAGGAGTAACGATGCAACCCTTGAAGAAGTAGTGGCAGAAGGCTCTCGGGCTTCGGAACCTCACGAAATCCTGACAAACCCTGAAGCCCTACTTCCCAAACCCCTAAAAGCCCTTTTTCCGCGGGAGGCATAGCCATGGGAGTCATTGGGTGCAGAGATTACTAAGAGGCGTCTCGGGCTGCAAGGGCCTCCTTTGGAGAGGTTGGGTTTGGAGCTTTAGAGATTCAGGGTTGGGTTTAGGGCCTGTAGGGTTTAGGGTGCAGGGCTTAGGGCCTGCAGGCTTTAGAGACCTCAAATCTGGGGTTTGCTTTAGGGTTTAGGGTTTAGGGTGGGGCTTTAGAGACCTCGAATCTGGAGGGGTTGCCGGCTTCTGGGCTTTCGGACTGTTGCTTCTCGAATTTTGCGGCTTGCAGACATTGGGATTTGTCTGTAGCTCGGCCCTAAACCCTAAACCCTAAACCCTGAGAGCAATGAATGGATGAACCTCTGAGCTCGATGCGATGAGATCCAGATTGCAGGAAATGCTCTGCAACTGGCTGATGCAGCTGTCCTAGACAGGCAGTGTTCCCAAGCTCCCGGCCCATTTACGGTTTAGGGTTTAGGGTTCTATGCGCTCGCTCCTGGTATCTATGTGGACTGGTACCGTTTCTCCCACTAAGGAAGGTCTAATGGCTTCAAGCTTACTACTTTGCCGATCGAGCAGGTCATTTCTTGACCGCATGGTTGGAACTCAGTACGAGAAGTATGACCATGGGAATCTGAGCGTCTGAACGGCAACAGCTGATGCAATGACGATTTTCATGAGGCCATGTCCTCTTGCGGCTATCACCGCCACTGCAACATTTGCTCCGCCGCTGGTGGAAACTCGTAGCACTCATACTGAATATTCTGCCAAAACAAGAACGATGCAGTTGCGATAGCCCTAAACCCTAAACCCTAGATGGGAATGGGAACCCTGACCCCGAAACTCCGAAGCAATCCTGGCCCTAACCCCAAAGAACCTGCGCTACCCTTAGAATCACTCTCCCTAAACCTATACTGAACTTGGGACCCTGGCAAGAAGTAAAGACAAAAGAGCTGTTTCTTAATGCTTCTACTAACCAAAGCTTAAGAACTATGATTTTGGCTGTTTCTTAAGAATTCTAATACCCAAATCAAAGATACAGCTTCTAGGGGTATTCCTAAGAAACCCCTAAACCCCTAACCCCTATAATCTAAACCCTACACCACCCCCCCCAAAAAAAAAACAAACTAGACCTCAGCCGGGATTCCATCTGATTCCAGAGCGCAAGGCTCTTGCCCAGGCCGTCGTCACGATGGCGCAAAGGCCTGGCGCTGGGCCAAGGGTTTAGGATTTTAGGAGTTAGGGTTTACGGTTTGGGGTTTGGGAGTTTAGGGTGTTGGGTTTGAGGTTTAGGGTTCGGGATTTGGGAGTTTAGGGTTTAGGGTTTGGGGTGGTTTAGTGTTGCAAGCGGAAGTCAAATAAAATTGAACAGAGCGCTCTGAGAGTGCTTAAACGACGCTCGCTGCAGCTTGTGAAACCTTCAACACAGTTCAGCCAGAAGAGACAAACCCTCAACCCTAAGCCCCTTTAAAGGTCTTACTATTGAGATCCCGGAAATCCCCCTAACCCCTAAACCCTAAACTCTCAAACCCCAAACCCTAAAACCCTAAACCAATAAGGCGAGTTTAGCGCGGCTCACCGGGCTTAGGGATCCACATTCAAAGCAGGTTTGGGCGCTGAAAGCTCTTTCCCAGTGCAGCTGTGACAAACACATACGTAACATGGGAGCCAACAGACAAAGCAGGGTTCCTTTGAGGAGTGCTACAGTGTAGCTATGTAAGGAACACCACATAAAGCTGTCGGTACTTTTTCAGGCCCCACTAGTAGCTGCAAGCTCAAGCCCAGAGCAACGATTCCCAGTGAACACCGAACCTCCAAACCTAGGCTCTTGTCAGTGTAGCTGAAAATAAGAAGACAAGCACGGAAATCCAGGGCATTTAATCACTGTATATCCCCTACCATGGACAAGAATATCGAGACGAACACCCCAACCCGCAAGCCCAAGAACAGCGCGGACCGGATCAGCATGGACAAGCTGGAGAGGAGCAGCGTGTGCGGGCGTCCGGTGCGACAGATGCCGTCCAGCTCGGAGTACCTGGAGGGGAGGTTGCAAAGTGCTTCGACACATTTGTTCACCAGACGCAGGCAAGCAGGGTGTTTTGGGAGTGTGAAGAGGGACCTTGACTTTGAAGATTGCTTTGAGTTGTGCTGGTCTTACTCGTCGTGCCGGGGTTGAAGCGCTTTGGGTCAGTCAAGGCTTCATTTGACATCCTAGCCCCAAGACCCCCAACTTTCAACCGTTAGAAACCCTAAACCCTAACCTTGAACCCCAAACCCTAGATGAAAGTGCAGACATGTTCGATTCAGGCCCTGCAAACAGATCTACGAACCGCCGCAGTCGTATCTGAAGTAAGATCCCCGTGCTCACTCACCAGAACCCCATCTGCCACCCTAGCTTTCTCTTAGAAGCCCTATGCTGAACTTGGGACCGTTGCCTAAATCAACATATTAGTCGTTTCTTGGGGATTATAGTAGCCAAAACTAATCAATATGAAACCCTAAACCCTACACTAAGTACCCCAACTAAGAGTCGCTAGGACAGGCTGTAAGGAAAGAGTAAGCCCTAAACCAAAAAAATCAAAAATAGTAAACCCTAAACCCTAAGCCCAGGCACCCCAAAGAGAGTCGCTACTGTTGATGATATAAATCCTACATTACCTCAAGGACCCTAAACTACGGGAGCTTTGGGATATTCCGTATTATGGGTAATGCAGGATTTCTATCATCAACCGTATGCTTATGATTTCACGGCTACTAACCCAAAGCCAAGAAATTATGAAACCCTAAACCCTAAACTAAGTACCCCTACTAAGAGTCGCTATGACAGGCTGTAAGAAAATAGTAAGCCCTAAACCAAACTTCAAAAATAGTAAACCCTAAACCCTAAACCCAGCCACCCAAAGAGAGTCGCTGTGACAGGCTGTAAGCAGCCGACTCCAGAACTTTCCCGTACTCGTCCGGGTCGCGGCCTCGGGGGAGGCAGGCTTTGGAGGAAGCGGCTGGAAAGCGCGTGGGCTTGAAAACTTACTTTGCCAAGAAGCCAGGGAAATTAAAGGTTACACATTCAGATTACTACCAAATCACACTCAAAAAGGTTATACTTACTTTACTACTAAATTTTAAGAACCCAAGAGTTTAAAATTACTTTTAAAGGCTGGGTATGGGAGAATTAAGAACAGGAATCCCTAAAGCATTTGGGAGCCACCCAATAAGCCCTGAACCCTAAGCCCTACACCCTAAACTACTCGTGGGGTCTAGGGACCTAGGGGCTTGGGAGTTGCGGCTTTGCGGCTTAGAGCTTTGAGTTTTTGGCTTCTTTGCTGGTGTCTTGAAGAAATCAACGAGATTCCTAACCCAGTTCTGGGCATGCTTGTCGCAGGTTTGACCCTAACCCCGAAAATCGTAGCTAACCCTAAACCCTAAACTCTAGGGTGCTGTGAGATCGACCTCTGCTCCTGCTGTTTCTTTGGTGACCTCTGGGAGTCGCAACTCAGGGGAGTAGGTTTAGGGTTTAGAGGATGCTATAGGGGATACCATAAGGGTAACTTCCCAGGGTTTCTATGAGAGCTGTTGATGATACAAATCCTTCGCAGTACCTTAAGGACCCTAAACAATGGGAATTATGATATATTCCTTGTTATGAGCAAGGCAGGAGTACTATTATCAACCGTATCATGGCTCCTGCAAAGGCACTTAAGAAGTTCTGCCAGGCCTTTAGAGTTTCAGGGTTATGTCTCTTGGATTCAGGAGCTTCGGGGTTTCAGCATTGGCTTGAGGTAAATGTCGCAGGTTTTTTGGGGGAGGTGGATGCCAAAAGCATGGCTTCGGGCGAAGATGCACCCCCCCAAGCCAAAGACACCGAACCCTCGATCCTGAACCCTAAACCCTCGACCCAGAATAAACTCCAGAACCCCCAATGCCCAACTCCCGCATGCCGGCGTAGATGCTAGTAACTGCTATGTTGGGGACCATCAAACGATCCCTTCTCAGATCCTCGTAAGCAACCCACAGAGGTGCCGACTCCGTTTGAGGTGCTGTTTCAGGGCGATGGGGAAGGCGATTAGATGCCGCACGATGCAGGAGTAGATGTCCTCGAGGATTGGGGGACGGCTGAGAGTTCGGGTGTCCGTACGTGCGCATAGCTTGAACAAACACCCCCTGGTAGGTATACCGGTAAAAGTAAGCATTCATCTATGGGCCCATCTAGCTGTCTATCTACCTATGCATGCATACATGCATGCATACATGCACGCACACCATCTACACACACACACATACACGTGGCATGCTGAGGGTTTAGGCCTTAAGTCTTGGGGCCTTGAGGCTTAGGTTTGGGGCTCAAAAGGCTGTTGGGGCAGGGTTTGGGTGATGAGGGAATCTTGGACCAAGCAAGGATTTTTGGATCTCTAGGCTGTTCTGGGCCACCTGTATTGCTTTTCATTCCTATCATGGAGTTTCATGAACTCACATGGAAGGGTCCTTATTGGATGGTCCCGATATAGCTTGAAAGAGCCGGCCCTAGAGATCCCCCTTGTCGAAGCCTTATAGGAGCCCTTAAAGACCACCGCCCCTCCTTCCCCCAAGCCAAGTACTAAAAGAAACCCCAATCCCCTAGACTGAAAATCTCTCCCAACCCTCTCTCCACCCTAAATCCTATATGCCCAGAGCCTACAGTCCCTCAACCCTGAACCCCCTAAGCCCTAAACTCCCTCCTCCCCACGTCTCTTGAAACAATACGGCGTCCAAACCGGGAAGTTGCTCAAAGCTCTCGGTGTGCGGCCCAGTCATCTCGGGAAAGATGGGATGCATACCTCTTTCAATCCTACAAGCTTTCGGGTTGAGGGTTGTGAGGGTGTTCAAGTACTCCTAAACTGCTAAACTCCGAAACATTTCTGGCTACTTTACCTGTCTTTCAGCTGCCTTTGGCCTCAAGTTTGGCCTAAATCGCATAATCAAACTCAGGAACCTGCCTGAGGAACAGCATGATCCTTTTCGGCCTCTCTCTCGCTCTCTACAGAAATACAAAGTGAAGAAGCAAATAGCCAAACATAGCAGGTAGCAGGCAGCTCAAGAACAAGCAAGTCTTGGAATATGGGGGCCGTATCCATCAGGTGTAGTGTAATATGTATAAGTAGTTACCTGAAAAACTGGAACCCTCAAACTCCAAACCCAAAGAGACCCAAGAGCTGCAAACCGACAAGCGCTGAACTGCGTCAAAACAAATCCCCGAGCAGGCCTGAGCATGGTCTGCAGCACCCGACACATCTCCGTGAGTTGCTTGGCACAGCTCCAATGGCGTTCGTAGGCCTGGACCCAGAGAACCCAATACACCCTTAATTAAGGAAGATACCTTAAATCATTTTAATAAGCCCCCTATAATTTAAGGTATATTCCTTAATTAAGGTGTATTGGGTTCTCTAGGGAGTTTCGGGTGCAGGCTGAGTAGTTTCGGGGTTTGGAGCTTCTGGTTGGAGGTGGGCTCAGGGCTTGGCCAAGATGTTGCGCCATGTCTCCGGTGGCTCAGATTCCTAAACTCCTGAACCCCTCAACCCTAAACCCTAACCCCTGAACCCTATACCCTAAACCCTCTGAGTAGTTTGGTGTAGATTCCGAAACTCTCGAACCCCTAAACCCTAACCCCTAAACCCCAAACCCTCTGAGCAGTTTGGCTTAGATTCCCAAAAACTCCTGGATACCCCCTAAGCCTCTCTAAGGCCGCTTTAAAAGGCCGGGGCCTGGTTCGTGCGGAAGGCCAGGAGCAGCCCCAAGACTCCTCGCGAAAAACTGGGCCGAACTGGATCGTCTGATTGGTTCAGGGCTTCGGGGGCTCTGGGGTTCGGCGTTTAGGCTTGCCGTTAATGGGCACTTAGGGTTTAGGGTTTAGGGTACTCAATGTCAAATTCTGGCTATCGATGCTGGGAGTTGGGGCTGTCGGTGGTGGAGAGGAAGCAGCATTGAAGCATTGAAGCTGTGAGAGCGCCGACGAGTAAGAATGAGCGCAAAAAATGCCACGTTACAGACAAGCCGAGAGAAAGCTCAGAACCCCGATAAGACTCTACAGAACTCTTGAACACGCTAAAATAGACGTCCACAACATGAGCGACGACTCGGGCAAAACGTGCTGCCCCAAGAACCCCTAAACCTCACGCTCAAGTCGACGGGAGCGGTTGGCCTTTGAGTTCAGAGAAAGCCCTGCAAACCGTGCCCGGCTGGACAGCAGCAACGGTGAGCTAGCGGAAGTGTTCCATTAACAGGCGGCTCAGCCTGATCACGATATGAAACGCCCCAGGAACGTTTAAACGCTGAAGCCTCAACCTCGAAGCCTCACAGGCTGCCGTGACAAGATGAGTAGCAGTGAAATCATAAGCATAATTAGCACCTGTAGCGTCATGGTCACAAGCTCCCTTTTAACAGTGATGATGACGGTACCGCAAGGAAACATAAGTTTAGCCCGTAGCATTGACGATCCGGAGAATGGTAGGAAAGAGCATGCAGATGTGCCATGGACAAGTGCCCGCTCCAACCAAGAGCGGATGGACGATCGAGGGGTTGTTCCTCGAAAGCTGGTGGCTTGCGGCTTTCGGATTTAGGATCAACACTTGTGGGATGTAAGGGTTGAAGACTTCCGGAGCAAAGGGCTGGAGATTACATATTCATAGGCTTGCCAACTGAAGGGTAGTATGGGGGTTTCTGAATCATCAGTGGAAGTGTTCCTTTGTAGTTCCTCGTGGAGTTAAACTAGAATATATCCCAAACTCCATTCCACCCAGCCCTGCAGAATGTCATCACCCCCCCCCCCCCNNCCCCCCCCCCCCCCCCCTGTCAGGCGCATTCAGCCAGGGTCATTCATCAGGTTGGCACCACACTCCGCCGCTGGTAGGGCTAAGATGCAAGGGGGCTGTAGGCACATGTCACAGCTAAAAGGCGCACTGTCCAAAGCTCTCACAGCGCTTTTGTACGGAGTCAGGAAGTGGCATCGCCCGCTCTGGCAAGAGGAAACCTACAACACGGGCGTGCCCAGGGGCCTGGCAATTTCTAGCTTGCCCGGTAGGGTTGTGGAGGTTGTAGGCCCCTTGACCCTGAATGTCCTTGAGCCTTGACACCGGTACACCCGAAATCCGAACTGGACGTAAGACGGGGCCCTGACTGCTTAGTGATCTCACTCCTGAAAGTTCCCGGACACAGCATGCCGCATGCCTAAACCCGAAAATCCTCCACTCCCCAAACCCAACAGCTTTCCCCTTTAATGGAAGCACCTAAACCCTAAATCCCTCCAAACCCTATAAACGCTAGAATTTCTGAGAGGGACCCCCAAAACCTCCCCCCCCCAAAAAAAACTCCCCAAAATCCCTGAGCCAAGCACATTCGCCAGCCAGTGAGGAGATGCAAAGCTACGACGAGGGAGGACCAGATCCTGAAAGCCCGAAGCCTTTAGGGCCTCATGGGTTCATTTGCTTGACTTCGAGGCTTGAGGGGCGCTTGTCTAGAATCATAACTAATAGTAAGGAGACCCCCCCAGAAGAGTAGTGGATATGAGTTTATGGCCCCTACAGTATTGGGGATATTATTTAAGCCCCAATAATGGGGGTCCGGGCTTGGAGATTTTCGGGTTTGGGGAAAAAAGGCAATGCGGGCTCTGTCGCTAGGGATGACGGGTTGTGGGTCTGCGCTTGCTTCGTGGGGCAATGAACCTCCGGCCCCTTCCCGACGACTATCCGTAGTTTATTTACTTGGGACTTTCCGAAAATAAGGGGTACCTTATTTTGGTGTCCTTATAATAAGGATCCTACTATTTAGGGTTCTATATTAATTAGGGTCCCCTATTTTCGGAAACCCCCACTTGTGATGCTACCTGTGATAA